TAAAGTGCCTACGAGTCTGTTCCAACTCATAGTAACCCTGGATAGGGTTTCCGAGGAGCAACTGATAGGTTTGAACAGCCAACCGCAATTGCAATTGGCAATCCGGTACTTATTCTACAAGCACCACACCAGGACTCCAGTAGACAAAACGCTAGCTGTCTTAATATGCACATGTAACAACCGGTCAAGTACTTCTCCATCTCAACATGATTCCCTTTGATTTGCCAAAAGCCCCAGAGCCATTATTTTGTCATGTATGTCTTATGAAAGGATACATTTGAAAACATTTTAAAGGACATGTAAAAAAGTCCTTTGAATGTATGTAGGGCTTAGACACATTTTTCCATCTGCTCAAAGCGTTCTTTTTCAATGAACGACTAGACACCTTCATCACATGAAGAGAATCTGAAACAGCTGCCTTCCTCTGAGAAATGACACAAGCCAGACCACGATCTAAACAATATTATTTCTCACCTGCTTACTAAAGACCTTTAATTAGTAATCACCATCATGAATAGCTGTCCCTGTTGCTTATAAACTTAAGCTCATATGGTGGTAGATATCCTGTTAGTGATGGTGGTGGTGGTGGTTATGTGCCATGAAGTAGATTCCAACTCACAGCAACCCTGTGAAGGGTTTCTGAGGCTGTAAATCTTTATGGGAGCAGAAAGCCTTATCTTTCTCAGTTTCGAACTGCTGACAGTGAGATTAGCAGCCCGACTCATAACCACTATGCTACCAGAGCTCCTTCCTGTTAGTGATACTAAGTGTAATTTGGAGGAAACAACAGATCCTCAACTCAAAAGAAGAATCTTGACTTGAGTTTTCGAGTAAAAGCAATGATAAAAAAAATCCTACCCCCAGCGGCTCCTTGGAAATCCTATACAGGGTCACTATGGGTCGGAACCAAACTCAATGGTACTTAACAACAACAAGCTTCAGTCAAGGAGCCCTGGTGGAATAGTACTGAACTGCTAACTGCAAGGGTTGGGTTTCAAACCCACCAGCTGCTCTGCAGGAGAAAGACGAAACTGTCTATACCCTTAAAAGATGTACAGCCTTAAAAACACTATATATAGAGCCGCTAGGAGTCAGAACTGACTCTGTAGGAGCAAATTTGTTTTCTCAGCTACGTTTTCACTGCAGCTAGTGCCTCTGACAAACTCCAAGTAAAAGGAACATTTGGTTAACATTAAATATTAAACAAGGAAGCAAGAACTGCAGGACTAGGAGGGTATTCAAGTCTCTCTAGTCAACAGCCCCCACCTCACAAATACAGCCTTATCTTGCCGAGGAATTCCTCTGCAGAGGAACCAGGAAGGCATAATAAAGATGAAACATTTTGTAGCTGTTCCCCTTTTTGTAACAACACACTTTTAATTGATTTAAAAAAAAAAACTTTGCCTTACATATGGGTTCTGCTCCTTTCATTTTTTCTTTAAGATTTCAACTCTTCTTCTTTTACATAGCAGCTTCACAGTTATATAAAATCATGGCAAAATCTCAGCGAAAACCCCTGTGTTCACCAAGTGATACTATCAAAGCAGATAAAATGTCATAGAATACAATTGGCTCATAGAAGGTCCCACAATGAATGAGATTACTTGAAAACCCCCAGGAGAATGGATCCATGTGCTACTGGGCTAAAAGTCACATTCGTCTTTCTCAGAACCACAGGTTAATGATTTTCTACACAGGGGACTCCTGGGGCAGCATGATAGGATCAGCACTGGAATGCGAACCACAAGGTGGGCTGTTCAACCCACCAGCTGCTCCTCAGAAACCCTATACAGGGTTTCTATGAGTCAGAATTGACTTGACAGCTCTTTACAACAACAAAACACAGGGGAGGCCTTTCCCTCTCTACGGTTTAATAATTTGAAATCCTATATACAGACAGGATTCCCAAGGAGCAGCCGATGAGTTTGAACTGCCAACCTTGTGGTTCAAACCGACCTTGTCTTCCAATGCTTATCCTACAGCGCTACACCAGGGGGAGAGAAAAAAATGTGGAACTAAATTCTAAATTCTAAAAAGATCAGACTTACTGGTCTTATAATTTGAAATTCAGAGAACAGTCATCAGTTCCTGTTCTAGTTTTACAGCTACATAGGAGGCAGAAGATTTCCTATATATATTTCTAGATAGCTAGCAAAGTGGCATGCATAGTGGTTAAGAATTAGGCTGCAAACCGCAAGGTCAGCAGTTCGAAACTACCAGCTGTTCCGCAGGAGAAAAATGAGGCTTTCTGCTCCTGTAAAGATTTACAACCTCGGAAACCCTATACAGGGTCGCTATGAGTCGGAACCGACTCCACGGCACATAACCACCACCACCCTGATGTGGTGCTGTGGGATAAGCAAGGTCAGTGGTTCAAACCTACCAGTCACTCCTCAGAACCCCTATACAGGATTGTGATGAGTCAGAACCAACTCAACAGCCCTTAAACAACAACAATACAACAATAACAAAGTTACAGTATAACAGGGCTCATTGTAGATTTTTGAAGTTGAGTTTTGAAAATCCTTTGGATCACCACAACATAAATCATAAAGTTAAATCAGTCTCTCCCCTACAGGAGCAAAGAAGAGTAAAGAAAATCAAATTCAAAGAAACAATGAGTCCAGGGGACTAAAGTGGGCGTGTAAGCCCAACTTCTAGAGCTCCCACTCACATGAGACTCTGAGCATTCTGATCTGGACACAATAGACAGAGATGTTGTTGTTAAGTGCCATCGAGTAGTTTCCGACTCATATCAACCTATATACAGACAGGACTTCCAAGGAGCAGCTGAACCACCGACCTTGTGGTTCAAACCGACCTTGTCTTCCATTGCTTATCCTGCAGCACTACACTAGGGGGAGAGAAAAAATGTGGAACTAAATTCTAAATTCTAAAAAGATCAGACTTACTGGTCTTACAAAGACTGGTGGAAATCTCGTAACTTTGGCCCTAGACATACTTCAGACGTAGAACTGAATCCATCCTGCGAAGGAGTCCCTTTTCAGACAAAAAGGAACAAAGATGGGCCTTTAAGTGTACAATAACACCAGGGAGGTAAAGCACTCCTCAAAATAAGCAACCATGTTGTTGTTGTTATGTGCCGTTGAGTCGATTCCGACCCATAGCGACCCTGTATAGGGTTTCCGAGGAGCAGCTGGTAAGCTTGAACTGCCAACCTTGCAGATACCAAAAGAACAGCATGTGCCCAAAAACAAAGTTCAGAAGGACGAATAGAATTGAGGGAAGAAATGGGAAAACCCAGGGAGGAACTAGGAAACGTGCTGTTACAATAAGGGGATACAAGTCATGTCAGGAAACAAAACGAATATACATTGCTGAATGGAAAACTAAACTGCTCTGTAAACTGTCACCCAAACCACAATTTTTAAAGAAAAGCAAGTAAAATATTATTAAAATCAACTATGTGGCCCTTCCAAGAAATTAAGCTCACATTTAAATAAGTATCAATTTACATATAATGCATACATAGAGTCTTTAAAAGGCTTACATTCTATTTCCTTGATAAAAATAGTTTCTAGTAAATTCTTGTTAAAAAGGCAGTCTCAAGCTTCCTTTATTTGATTTTTTTAAAAAATTTACTTCTTGTTGTTGTTATTGCTGTTAAGTGCCATCAAGTCTGGTCCGACTCAGCGACCCTGTCTAGGGTTTCCGAGGAGCTGCTGGTGGGTTTAACCGCCAATCTTGTAGTTCAAGCTGACCTTACAGTCCAGTGCAGTAGCCTGCAGTGCAACAGGGATGCCTAAATTTACTTAAATTTAGGCCAGTTGTTGTTTTACTTTACTTAAAGTTGGGCCAGTTCACCAGCAGGGACACAAAGAGGAGACATACTGCTGGGTGACTTTAGCAATCCTTACAGAAGCCATATAAGGAAAATCAGGTTCCAGCAAGCAGCTCTGACTCCTCTATCAGCTGGTGGCAGCGTCCTCTTTGCCTACTGAGAGAGCTCTCTCTGTGGTGAGTTCAGGCATCAGGAGGACCTAACAGAGATGCTGACCACAAAGGGAAGCAGGGGTAGAGAGGGAAGCGTACAGTCTTCCTACTTCAGTCATTGAAAAGACCAATATTGAACTAGAAGGCTACAAAGACTAACTTAAATGTCAAGTTCAGAAAACACCATATGCTGACATTCCCTACAAACACAGCTACATGAGACTTCTTCATTATCTAGGTGGGAGCTGCTCTTCCAATTAAACCCAACATCTCTTCCCACATACACACATTCATCAACACCAATAACCATGATTATTTCTTGTTTTCAACATGTTTTAACGTATCTCCCCTATCTGTACAAAACCATTTGTATGCCTGAAAATCTAATTTTAAAAGCTTTCAAAATGTGGATTCCCTGTCACACATTAGGTCAACAAGCAACCATTGCAGGTTTTTCGTAATGTTCACACTCCGCTCCTTTCAAAGAATGACTTCCTTTAACAGTCTATGGCATATTTAACAGGAAAAAACCTGGCCTCACAATCATTCATATTGTAGAGTTTGGAATTCTGGCACGAAGAGACATATTTCAATGGAAATATACCGTCTTTAAATGCTTTATAATAATATTTCCAGACCAATAAACACTACAAGTCAAGTGCAGACGCAGTATCAAAAAAGCTGGAGTTAAGGAACACCAACTTTACAAGAAAACCCTGCCAAGTTCATCTTTAAGAGGAAATACGGTAGCAATGCTTCCGTTCATAATGTAATTGAAACTTTCCACAAAGAAATAAGGTAGATCTCATCATCATCACATGAGCCAATAATAATGGTATAATTATAATGACATACACAAACCACTTAATGCTAACCAAATAAAACAAGCAACCACAGCCACTAGAAAACCAATTATATACTTCTTTAGGAAAGAAAGAAAAAAAGAAGAAGAAATTTTTCATCCATTAATCTAATGGTGAATAGATTCCAGGAAAGCATAGGAAACCGATCCAAAATACATTTAATAAAACATAAGGTTTACTTACAGCCTGTACAGCTTAGAAGTCCCAAGAAACAGCAACTCAGGAAACAGCTGAAGGTGATTTCTGTTTAAACGCCTTTTGAGAAAAACAAAAACAAGGCTTATGTTACAAAGCTCATCCCCAACAAGGACTCCGTGTAGTGTCATGCCTCATCCTGTATTTTAGGAAGGAATGAAATGACATTCAAGAGAATTCAAGCATTGCAAATCAAAAGATGGTTACACCTTTTGTTGCATGATGTTTAAAAGCAATTTTCCATTGTACTTACAATCAAATGATGATTACTAGGGACTAAATCTCTAAACTCAAAACCTATGTAACATCAGTCAACCAGAGTATTCACAAGGATAAAGTACTCTGTGACTCAGATCCTAGAATCTCTGCTAGAGGAATTCACTATCTAGCAAAAATACCCGCAAAACTGGTGCCATAATCCACGCACATAATCCAATAATCCATAATCCATCATCTAAGTGGCCTAAGTAGGCTGCCATGGCATTGTAGGGAGATGGGAACTTCCACGTTCTTACTTCCTCATTTGTTGCTGCTGTTAGCTGGCATGGAGTCAGTTCCGACTCACAGAGCCGCGGTACAGGGTTTCAGAGGTGGTAAATCGTTACAGGAGCAGAAAGCCTCATCTTTCTCCTGCATAGCTTTGAAATGCCAACCTTGTGGCTCACAGTCCAGTGCTTATCTCCCAGTGCCACCAGTGTTAGTGATAATTTAGTTACAGAAAATCAAACTAAAGTATGAGAAAGGGCCGACACAATTTCTCCTCATAGGCAAAATCAGAAGAAAACCCAAAAAAAGGTCCAATCCTATCCCAGAGTTCCCAACCTTAACTGAATTTAAGATTCCAGTTTATATACTGCTGTTGTTAAGTGCTGCCAAGTCGGTTCCAACTCATAATGACCCTGTATAGCGTTTCCAAGGAGCAGCTGGTGGGTTTGAACCGCCAACCTTGTGTTTCACAGTCCAGTGCTTATCCTATAGCACCCTCCAGAAGTCCTATATACTATTATTGTACTTGTTAAGTGCCGTCAGAGTATGTAAAAGAAATTTAAATAATATTTTTAATCTTTAACTAGTGTGGATAATGCACTAGACTGCAAGGTTGGTTTGAAGCATAAAAGGTCATTGGTTCAAACTCACAGCTGCTCCTCAGAAACCCTATACAGGGTCACTATGAGTCAGAACTGACGCGACAGCACTCAACAACAACAACAACAACAAAGATATGAGAAGGTTAAACTGTTTTCGAGAATAACCTGATGGCAAATCTAACACAATTTAAGCCCTGGTGTTTTATAACAAAATTCTTGTAGACTATGTAATTAGATATGGAATATGTGCTCATATTAAATTGTAGGCAAATTCTGTCCCTAATGTACCAACCTCATATGTCTTAGAGATCCAATTTCACATATCATTCAAAATACTATTTTCCCAAATTTAAATTAAGTGATAACAAGCTGAAGGAATTTGTAATCTTAAATGAATTACAGACTGCTATTTCCCGGTGACACTGTGGAAGAAACTCTCGGGCTGCTATCCTCAAGGTTGAAGGTTCAAACCTAACAGCAGCTCCGTGGGAGAAAGACGAGGCCATTGATTTACAGATTCATAAACGTTATTTAGGGCTGCTGAATCCGAACTGACTCAGTGGCAGTGGATTTGGTTTATGATACCTCCAGAAAGGACGTGTGGTGGTGCTGTGGTTAAAGCAATCCGTTGCTGCTTCCTTAAAAATAGCAGCCTACAGCATTTCTAAGGAGCTCTGGTAGCGTAATGGTTACGAATAGGGATGTGAACCACAAGATCAGCAGTTTGAATCTACCAGCTGTTCTGCAGGAGAAAGATGAGGCGTTCTACTACCATAAAGATTGACAGCTTCGGAAACCCTGTTCAGGGTCGCTATGAGTCGGAACCGACTCCACGGCACATAACAACAACAACAACAGCATTTCTACCCTGCCCTATGGGGTCCTGTAAATTGGAATTGGCTCCACAACAATGGATCGGGGTTTGGTGTAACTCCAGACAAAAGCAAGGAAGTTCTAGAAACTCATGCCCTACTGAAGAAAACTAAAGGCACTTCTTAAGTTTAAAGAGAAATATTAAGGGTGGCAGGAAAGGGAGGATTATCAGTCTTGACATACTTTTCAAGGGTCACTGTAGGATCAGCACTGGACTAGAACCACAAGGACGGCAGTTCAAACCCACCAGCTGCTCCTGGGAAACCCTATGAGTTTCTGAGTCCAAACAACAACAGGTAGAAGCAGAGTAAGACGTATTTAAACTCCAGAGGGCAGGCACATTACCCAGGAATGGAACTCCTGAGAAAGCAGATTCCAAGGAAGACTTTTTTAAGAACTGGTGATAACTGAGAAATACATGAGTCTCCTGGGAAACTCTTCACTCCTTACCCCACATATGGAGGCTAGGTAGTTTTCAGTTTTGTTTTTGTTTGTTTTGTTTTATTTTCTACATTCAGTGAGAATTTGGACACTGGATAATGCGTTGAACTGCAAGGTCAGTTTGAACCGCAAGGTTAGAGGTTCAAACCCACCAGCTGCTCCTCAGAAACCCTATACAAGGTCATCGCTGTGGATTAGAACTGGTGGGACGGCAACTAACAACACCATAATAATAATGCCAATTGTCATTTTTGTTAGAGAAATTCCTATTAAGAAACTGGCCATCTACAGAAACAACCGCCGCACTTAATAAGCTTTTAATAGTGAAAAAAAAGTGTGTCAAAACAATTGTTGTTGTTGTTATTAATTGCTGTTGAGTTGTTTCCGACTCACGGGGGCCCTGTATAGGGTTTTCAAGGCTTTTTAAATCTTTGTAGGAGCAGAAAGCCTCTTCTTTTTTCCTTGTGGAGGATGGTGGGCTTAAACCAAGGACCTTGTGGTTCACAGTCCAGTGTTTATAGTATGGAGTCTGACATACCTGCCAATACAACTAAAATATACATATTTAATATTCAGTATTAAACTGATTTTTATGAACAAAACACATATGTTAAATTTAAAAGTGAATTCAAAAGTTTCTATGTCTTCGTTTATTTTTCTCTGTTAAGTATGATTCTGAGGACACAGTGCTTCTGGGATCTACTATTAAACAACTTCTATAAAACTCCTGGGTCTATTTTTATTAGAAAAGGCGCTCTGGTAGTGTAGGAGTTACACATAGGGCTAACCTCAAGGACAGCAGTTCGAATCTACCAGCTGTTCCATGAGCGAAAGATGATGCTTTCTGCTCCTGTAAAGATTTACAGCCTCAGAAACCCTATACAGTGTTGCTATAAGTCAGAATCGACTCCACGACAGACCACCACCACCACCACAACTATATAAATTCTATAAAATTTAGCTTAATTATGACCTTGCTATATTTTGGGATCAAAGTTAAAAAGTAATAATTACAAATATTCACAATAGCAGTGAGAGTATTTTTAGGGGAGTGACCATTTTTGGATAGCATCCCATTGTCCAAGAGCCTATTCAGATTCCTAGGCAAGCTGAGATGACCTTTCATTATCTGATCCAAACAAATGATTCTCCCGCCTCAGGAGCTCCTTCATGTTCCTGGGCCTTGCAAAGGCAGTTCAAAGTGAATCCAAATGGTACTTCTCCCCTCCTCTGGGAAAAGTTCCCTGCTATCCCTACCTAGAGTCTCCTTGTGTGTCTCCATGGCGACCCCATTGGTACTAGATGAAAGAGTCCCTCATACTGTATTATATTTACTTGTTTACTGGTCTCTTTCCCACTCAGCTGCAAGCTCTTCAAATATAAGGATATTTTTGTCTTCCCTCCCTTCGTCCCTGACACCTACTAGGTTCTTAGAATGTTTAATGAATGGCTGACTAGTTCTTTTTGCATTTGGATATAATTCCACAAGGCCTTGGCATATGGATTTTATATTAAGTCTAGTGGTACAACAGCTAGTCAGCTGCTAGTCCAATGAGCTCTGGTAGCGTCGTGGTTACGAATTGGGCTACTAACCTCAAGGTCGGCAGTTCGAAACTACCAGCTGTTCTGTGGGAGAAAGATGAGGCTTTCTGCTCCCATAAAGATTTACAGCCTTGGAAACCCTGTGCAGAGTCCCTATGAGTCAAAACCGACTCCAACAGTACTTAACAACAACAACAGTCCAATGGCTGGCACTTCAAACTAACCCTGTAGTCTGAGTAAGAAAGATCTGGGCAGGCATTTCTACTGTCAAATGAGGTCGTTGTGAGTCAAAGTTGATGTAGTGATACTTAACAACAACTGTTTTCTGACACAACCCCCTGACTGGTGAATTGCATATTGCTATGATGCTGAACAGGTTTGTGGGGCTTTCAGATCAAGGACTGATACTATTTCAAAAATCAGACAATAAAAAGCCTGTGGTTCATAACGTCTCAATGTACCAAACAATTCTGGGAATAGCAGAGAGGCAGGCAGCATGGGGTTGTCATGGGTCAGGAGCTGACAACAACCCATCAACCAAAACCCATCACCAAACTTCTTAAACTAAAGTTACTGTTTTCTCTCTATCAAGCTCTCCCCCTCCAGCCCCCCACCCCCACATTCCAAACACCACTTGAAGCTGGAAGGAGCTCAATGCGCTTAAGCTTAATAGGTTACATAACAAAACCTGGGGTGTAGTTAATCTTACAGTCCAGAAACAGGGGACCCTAGGACCATCAAGGGAGAAGAGCACAAGTGGAATGTGAGACCCTATCCAGAGAAGCAGTGACACCAGAGATGGAGGCAGAGATGGGGACATGGAAAGAGGGAGCAGCTGAGGACTCTAGATTCATGGGGAGAGAGGGACTGAGAGCAGGCGGCCAGGAGGCAGACTTGCAGAATGTGCCCATTGGTAGTGTAAATTATTATAAATGCCTGAGTGTTTAAAAAAAAAAGTGCTAAAATGAATATAGAGAAATACTGTTAAGTGATGGTACGTGGAGGGAATTAGCGTAGTGGTTACGAATCGGGCTGTGAACCGCAAGGTCAGCAGTTCGAAACTACCAGCGGTTCCGCGGGAGAAAGATGAGACGTTCTGCTCCCGTAAAGATTTAC